GTTAAGTACACCTGCAAATGTTTTTGCAAAATTCTTTCTCCTTCCGGAAATAGAAACATTTGAATTTTAGTCAAATTTGGTCAAAAATTGCTTGTGGTGGCCATTTTGTATTTTCACAAATGCCCTATATCATTGTAATTATTTTCATAATTTTATCAAATTTTATTGAAATTGGACCAAGATTTTCCCTCCCCCTAATTCAAGCATAAGTAATCCAAATATGGAATCAGCTTTTACTTATATCGTAAAACAATCCCCCCAATTACCCTTTAAACCCTCCTACTGTAGAATTTTAAGAGTCCTCTTTTAGTCCTCTGAAAATTGACTAAATTATAAAGCAGATATGCCTAAATTCTGTTTCACATGATATATTGATAATTGCTGTTCAATTTCAAAGAGTGCTTAAAACTATATTGAGGTTAATTCTATAATAAAACTGAATGTTATCTATATGAGCTACTGAAGATTGATGAAGTTAAGCAGTCAAGTAATGTTAAAGGAGGTATGTTTTGGAAGGTTTTAAATAGGTGGTTTATAATGACTATTGTGAAATATTTCAATTTATAAGTATGAATAATACTAGATGACAACACTTTATTACCTGATTGTGGTTTTCTACATACAGAAGAACCATACACGAGAAGGTGATTACCTCGTCCCCACTCAAACTTCACTCCCTCTGACAGTGAGCAGTCTGGAATTACCTAAATAATGGAACAGCTATTTGTAAATAATTTTCATGTATCCACTGATTTTTATTGAAAAATAAAATATGCATATTATCCAAAAATATTTATACAAAATTCAGTTACACTTCAAAAATAAAGGTATTTCTGACACAATCTTTCACTCCTATACCTTCATATGTAAATAGACATCACTATCTGGTAAATATTTTAATTTATTTAAAGACTTCTCTATATTATATTGTATTCTACATGTAGCTGATTAACAAAAAATGTTTCAAAATATTAACTAAAAATGGAAAGTTTAATGAAAGTGCTTTAATACATAGTTAAAACTAAAAATTGGTTTATACGGAAAAAAATACTAGAACATTAACAGGTTTATCTTGCATTTCTTAGTAGTGACTTGTATTTTTCAGA